TTGTCAGTGAAGCTGATTGCTCCAAAATCTCTTCTTTCATGGTTCCCATCTACCTTAAGATTCAAAATTCTGAAATTAAAGTCAGAATTCTGAGATTAAAGTCAGAATACTGACTTCCCCCCCCCCCCTATTAAACTGAAATAATATTGAAAAATCAGTTAACTTTTTTTTTTTCATGGGCCAATTCCTCTTCCGTAGAAACATGCTACAGGGAAATGTGATTTCTGTTTTCAAGAAGAAACAGTGGAGCACGTTATATTATTTTGTACTATATCCAACTGAGAGAAATGAATTGGTAAAAAGATTACAAACCAATAAATTAAAGTTAAACATGAAACCTTTTAGACATGGACTCTAAATCAGAGTGTTTTTCTTTGTTTTTGGCATATCTTAAAAGGACAAATTTGATAACGTTTTTTTTTTTCTTTTGTAGTAATACTAGAAGGTGATCTTGAAGGCATCTTGAAGCGTTTCTCCAAACTGTATTAATACATTCACAGAGAATACTGACACCTACTGGACATTTAAAGACACTACAGACAGTTTATTTGACAGGTTGGACTGAATTGATTATGAGATTATTTAAGTTATTGTAGTTATTGTATTATTTAATACCTATGTTTAAGTTGAGGAACTATCATGATGGCTCTTTTCTGCTACATCCATAGCAGGTTTTAGGGATTTCTTTAGTTGGTATCCCAGACTCCTGCACAAAAGGTTAGGTATAGTTATATTAGTGAACAATAAATAATGTGTAATGTTTTATAAATTTGATTTTTCGTGTGTGATTCCTCTAAATAATTTAGGCTGAACATGTTTGAACATGTCAATAGCAGTCCTTTATTTTATTACTGATATTTTTTTACATTTCTCAGTGTGAGATAATAATGCTGTAATAAAATATGGATTTTTTTTTTGTTTGTTTTTTGCACAGTAAACCTTTTTACTGTCAAAATAGTCATCAAAAGCGTAGTGCTATAGCTATTAGATTTTTATTAACTGAAATTTTAAAATATAAGGATTTATAGAGTTTGCCTAGACAGCGTATAATTGAAATTGTTGTTTTACAATACAAGTAAAGAGGTTAAGGGTTCTTAGTTTATTTCAAAAAAGTTTAAAAAACAAACTACTGGACTTTGTTTTCCAAATGTTCAAACCTGGACAAATTTTTTTTTAATTACTTTGACCTTGACGACTGAGAACCTTCACCAGCGATTCTTAGTTTATTATTTTAAATTCAAGTCATTAAGATTTTGATTCTTTTATATGCACATAAATAGATTTTTCCAAAGATTTGCCTTCACATAATTTTAATGAAAATATGTCCAATTTCACAGTTCAAACACTAGAGGGAGACATAATCCATCCAGCTTTTACACCCCCACTTTAAAATTAAAAGAACTTGCGTTTGGGAAAAATATTTAAAAAAAAATTAAATTAATATCAATAAAACTGGATCATCGGAGTTTAATCTATCGAAGCTGTAAAACCTTAGTTATTTTTAATCTACCCTTATTTTGGTATGCTTATAACCGGAAATAAGGCCACAAAACAGGAAGTAACGTCTGTTGATAGCGGCTATGCTAACTACCCAGCTAGCTTAGGTTCCGTTTTACAGTCTTCCTAGTTTATTGAGTAAACGACACAGGTAACTGGTTACCAGTTCACCCAGTGGATGACCAAAGCGCTGCTGTGAACGTTATGACTCAGCCACATTTAGAGGTCAGGTGGTATTCTTAGCATTAGCCTGTGTGCCAAGCCAAAGTCCGACGGGCAGACATGGAGACTCGGGGGATCGAGGACATGTTTGACTTTCGTCGGTAAGTCAGCTAACGACATGCTAACAGGAGCTAACCGCTTATAAAGCTAATTAGCCAGTGTTTGGATGGTTGTCTTCCTATAGTGTTTTAAAAGTATAGAAGACGGATTTATGTCTTAATTGCAATCCAAACGTATCTAGGAGAGTTTAAAAAAAAACTCTTAAAGACGAGAGGCTAATTAGCCCAAGTAGTAGATGAATGATGGCTTTATGTCTATTATTTACCCTGTAGCCTTTTTTGTAGTGTGCACCTCTGATGCATCTGGGGTTTTGAAGATGTATACAAATTACTGTGCCTTTACCATCTGCTGCAGGAGGAATTCAGTTTCTACATATTTAAAAAGTTAAACGGTAAAGCAATGAGAAGTGTCACGCTTCACTGGATGGTTTTGTAGTAATGACACGTGTAATAAGTTGGTGAAAATTAGTGACGGAGAGATGAAGCCTCCTGAGGCATTGAACCGTTTGGCCAAATTTCTTCTACCGTACGTAGATACACAGTTCATGAAGCCTCATGTGAACATGGCTCCACCTACTGGTGGACTGCAGAACTACAGCTAGCAATACAGTTGTGATTATTATTATTTTTTTGCAATATTGATTTTCTTCGGGGGTTTTCTCTCTCCCCCATATAAGTGAATTTGAAATAGTTAATGTGTGGTCTGTATGATCAAATCTTTGGTAAGTTTTTTTGTGTTTAAAACGTCTTAGAAGAGAACAGTAATTTTAGGTACACAGTTTTACTGCCATTTTAGTCAAATAAGCTTAAGCAGCCGGTGAGAGTCTTTGTACAAATTGGACAATGATGAGCAAAATGAAAGGTGTTAGTCATTTTTATTTAAACATCATAGTTTTTCCACAGTTTGTGGTTTTAATAGGGTTGGAAGTTACCCACCAATCTATTTTTTTTTGTGTGTTTTTACCAATCTACTAGGGCAACAAATGCAAATTAGTCACATTAGCCAAATACTAGTTGTGTTTTAGCAAAACTTATAAAAGTCTGAGCGGGGTCTTGTACCAACATCCAACGAGTTGGAAGCCCATCTCTTACAGCTGATGCCACCTAATAGATGACACATCTTTATAAAGCAATACTACTTCGAATCCATGCCATCTATTATCTGTGGATTGCTGTGATATTGATCATTACATTGTTTAATCCAACTAGATTAGTTGGAAAAAACACCAGTCTATTCTTATAACCTATGCAAACTCTATCCAACTCTCCTACAAACTCCCACATCTTGACCGAATACTGAGGCTGTTTAAATGGCTGCCAAAGTTTGGGGCGAGCTGAACCACTTCGGGCTGAACCACAGGCTTTGGATGTCATCTATTTTGGCTCCTCCCCCAAATGAAGCAAGCCTCGATACTATCGCAGAAACGCCCCCTCCAGTACTCGACACACGCCTTGAAGCCTCGGCTGATCTCAGAACATCACTAGAGAAAATGAAACCTAAACACAAATATGTCGCCTGTTCAGTTGTAAAAAGTGAGTTTAGTTTCCTGTATTTGGAAAATCAATGTTTTCTATGTGGCTATAGTTCACATGTAGGTGTGGGGCCACTATTCAGTCCAGAAAAGATAATCTGCAATTTCCAAAAACTTTTCTGTGCTACTGGGAACACAACCTGACTTCACCTTAGCTTTGTGTATTTTATGCTACAGTGAAGTCCTAATTTATATCCGTAAATACTGAATCAGATCCAACCATTGCACTTAAGGATTTTCTATAGGTTTGTGAGTGTAAACAACAAGTTTTTCTTTGGTTACTGTTTGCTTACAAGGAAAACTGTAAATGTGTGCAGAAAAGAATTTAGAAACACCTTTGGTGATCCAACAGTAGGGAGTCAAATGTGTGACCGTGGCAAAAACTTATGTAGTGCTTGCTAAAATTATTAAAATCTGATTAAAGATAATTTTATTGATGACCTCTTTTATATAATTTAAAGATGAGATATCCTTCAGAAAAGATAAATCACCCTCTCCAAACAGAGATATCCTCTGAGTATTTGTGCTCTTACATCAACAGGTCCTTCCAGAAAAGGACACATCATTTCCGACACTTCATTGTGCAGATCTCTGCTAAAAACCAGGAAATGCGCGGAGTTTCTCTGAACAGACCTGCTACTGAGCAGGGTTTGTTTCTGCGAAATTAGTTGTCATGATTTTACTCATTTTAACACTTTTCTGAAGCTGGAAAAAGCCACAGTATGCAGGATTTTACCCCAGATCCTCCTACCACCATTGACCCTGCTTTATGGAATGGGGTCAGGGAGTTGCACAAGCATGGCTGCTAAGGAGCAGTCATTTGAATAAAGAGAAAAGAAGAAGTGGGAGGGGACTCAGCCCTGGGGGACACCAGTGGGAATGTTTCTTGTGCAGCTAAAATAGGTAATCCACTGACAGGTGGATATGAGACTGATGGAGAATGTCTAGCTGATTAAAGAGAACCTAGGTATCCACTTCAAGCCTAACTGAACTGCATTGCGGTTTCTTGTTACAGGGATCATATATGTTTGATGTGTCTAATAGGTTTATTTCTATTTTATTCGTCTTGTTTATATTGATCTGCTCTAACCACTGTGGAAATCAACTATTAAAATAGCCTCAAAGGGAATGGGAGGTCTAGAATTTTGGAAAACCCTGATGGGAAATATGTGTGTTGATCTGAACCATTGTGTTTTAAATGTGTGTGTGTGTATGTATGTATATATATATATGTATG